TACACTGTAATTGACGATCAGCAACATGTATGTCCACACAGGAAAACAGCATAAGAGTGCTTCTAGTCTGCATCCTTCACTCTGTATTTTTTCCAGTTACGTTTGAAAAATACAGTCAGCTGAATGAAGCAATTTCATGATCATCTCCACAGCTTTGATTTGCCACTTTACAATTTAGCTGCTGGCAGCTGACAAAGAGAAGATGTGAAATCTAGTAAAGAAGTCTTAAATATGTGCTCTTTATAGAGACTGTTAGATATAGAAGCTACGGGCCAAGTCTGAATTCATCCACTTTACCGCCTCCCATTTATTACATCAACCAGTAAGAACGCGGCTGACTGGCACACATTTGCTGTACAACATCTGCACATGGCCCAGAGACCAACGCCATGACACACTTTGCTCAAATACAATTCAGATATGTGTTTTAGTAATTAGGATGTGCGATTTTCCTGTGCGTGCCACCCTGTAGAATCCCTGGCAGGCCCGTTCACCATCTGCCACACACACAAACTGTGTGTTCACAGAGACGTAGCGCACAGTTTTCCACTGTACTGTACATAACATTAACCAACTAGCTGTAAGAAACGTCAATTGTCCAAAGTGTGCAACCACACAGGAACAAAAAATATCGATTAGCTTATCAAGCAAGCCCAGAAACAGCAAGAGTGGAAGTGCTGGCACAGTAATAAATGTTTCAGTTACTGCAATAACAGTATTAGTAGAAAGAGTAGATATATATATATATATATAGATATTTCTCCTAGTCACAAAGTTTATTTATTCAGTGGTGTGTAAAAGGCACTAAGCGCCTTAGTTTAATCTGTGCACACAAGAAGCCATTAATCACCCACCTCTGTCTAATCGATGGCTTTCTTGTTATCTGTAGAACATTTAGTGACTCTGTCTCCTTGCTTGAGTAAACTCGGTAAGATATCGAATGTTTGTGTTTTAAAATCCTAAAAAATGTTAGAGCCTCACTTTCGCTGCAAAAGGTGCATTAGCGCACATGCACTGGTCTGCAAGAGAGCTCTTAATCATCCTTCGTCTTGTCTTCTGTCTGAAAACAGCATCCGTGACTGAAAATCTTATTTATCTCTGTTTTGGTGGTGGCTGCTAGAACGTGTTGCCAGCTATGGGCAAGATTGAATGTTGAATGTTTGAAAGGTCATTTGATCGATGATTTATAATATTTTACATGTGTATGTATCCATCTATACTTTGCCTTGTCTTTAAATTTCAGATGCTTCGTATTATAATGCTCAACATATGTCATTCTATTATTGTAATTAGTCTTATTGTTTTTGTTTTTATTATTATT